GGGGGGGGGGGGGGGATACGAGGAGCTGTCAAGGGTTCTTAATTAAAGGGATAGAAAAATGGGAAGTTGGGCGATTGAGGAAGATAAATCCAAGCAGATGAGGATTCACCATGAACAAAAATCTTGACCAAGTAGTCTTTCCAAAGAAGAGTCATGGTTATACTTCAGCAATCTAACAGAAAGGACCATAAAAGTGACTTACACACCAGAGATCATACTATGATCTAAATATCTGAAGGCAGTCTAGTGATTAATAATAGATTGCAACAACTTCAAGTTGTTGGAACTGTTATTCCTGTTGGTGACAATGAGGGAGAAAATTGCTTTTAAATATAATTGCCAAAGTACCAACAATCAAATTGATGAACAACAATTTTATTTTTTACACTTAAATGCTGAAGAAAAACCATTACTAACCCTATCAAAGAAAATCCAACATTTCAATTGAAATTTATAGTAACTATATTTACTCATTAAATACTTTGTTTTCTAAAACACAACTTACATTCAACATACATTTTTAATTCAGTACAATGGATTTAAGACCAAGTATACATGTTACATGCATCAAGGCTAGGTTACAAATTATCATAGTCATCGTCATCATCCTCATCGTCATCATCCTCATCTTCATGTTTTCTTTTCAATGCATTTGATGATTCATTGGCATTATTTTGTGATGACACCATATTAGTGGTAATAAGAATGTTTTTGGACCCAATTAATGATGGATTAATCAGAACATTCTGAACTGCTGATGCTGCGGGAATTGATGCTTTTACAGCTGGGGACNCGGCATGCTCTTGGGAGATGCCATCTTGCCAGACTCCATGATATCCGGTGATCAGACTTTAAATCATTTGAAAAAAATATGTACATTAGATCAAACCAAAATTGTTAACTTTAGTAGCAACTGTCAGGAACTTAAAAATTTTTTAAATATATGATAAGTTGTAAAAAATATATTTAAAATTTAAACCAAATGTTAAATCTTTTTAATTTTAATGAGGCATGCTTAAAGTTCCCTTTACTTAAATTTATTGAATTCCTACACTGTACACATCATTGTAAAATATAAAAAGATGAAGATACAAATAAGGGAGTGATAAAAGATTAGGGGAAAACAGGGTAAAAGTAAGTAAAAAATATATACCACTTTAGGATATATGCAATTGTTTGCAGGCATGCAATTATCAAACTAATCTAATCTGTCCTTCCGGTGAGAACAATATATTCACCGTCCCATTACCTGCTTAGCACCACCCAAATCTTTCTGTTTGCCCAACTCAAAACCATTCTCCCTCTTCCTCATATTCAGATTCCACCTATTCCTAAGTCCAATTTCTTCATGGAAGCCTTCCCAATTATTAGTGTTCGAAAGAACTGCTAGCCATTTTGGGGAAGGGAGGAGGAAATGGTCAAAATAATCAGGACACAGCACTGGACACTCAATATTTTCTATTCCTGTGGGTCCTCAACAGAGCATAAATACTGTAATGGCAATCTCTCTCTGCTCTTTGTACCCTCTCACAATAGCTAACACTAATACTCTACTATCTTTTTTTTTTTTTTTTTTTTTAACAAATCTAACACCAAAGTGTCCCTTACCTTCTCGAGCTAAATCACCCACATTAATGTATTTCAGTCCTGATCTTGCCGCAAGTTCTTTGCCTAGTGTGGTTTTTCCAACCCCTGGTGTACCTGTAAGACAAGTCACAGAAAAATACTGTTGTAAAACACTACTTATTTGACTCCAGCTATCTTCTACCCTTCTTATGGTTCTTAACAACTGAAATGAAAAATGTCCTAATTAGCAATCATATGTGAATATACACTACAACCTAACTAAAATTTCCCAAAGCCATCTGGATGTCAGAATCTCACCCAGTGTGTATGATTCTCCAGGGGTGGGATCAAGCGATTCTGATGCCAATCCAGAGTGCCTACCAGCACCATAGAACTGCCCAGGATAAGATTAACCACCCAAAATCAATTACCATCATTTATTAGTTTAATTAAATAAGAAATTGTTCACAGAAAAAATTTAAGCAGTCTGAAAGATATCTCATTACTACTACTGACCCCCATCCCCTTCCCTAGAGGCAACCACAACAAAGTGGTTTCTTATATATCTTTCTGAAGAAGTCCTATTCATGTGTGCACATATGTTCATACGGTGTACACAAACACAAACAACATATATTCCCTTTTACATAAATGGCAATACTACACATTGTTTTTTACCTTTCCTTTTTTATATTTAGTATGTGTTCCAGGATAACCAAATGCATTTTCAAATAATTTTCAAATATGTGTTCCAGGATAACCAAATGCATTTTCAAATAATTTTCAAATCATTTCAAATAATTTTCAGCTGTTCAAGATTTAACAGCAGTGAAATTATTAAGCTTTAAGCATTGTAGTTAAAGATAACAGGAATAAATCAAGTCTCCATATGCAGAGTAACATTCACCTCAAGTCCTTTATAATACACCAAACCCTGGACTCAACCTGCTTTCAATAAAATGCTCACTCTAGATTTTTTACAAGATAGCTTAATATTAAAAAAAAAAAAAAAAAAAAAAAAACTAGGACACTATGTCTGACCCTTGCAAATCAGATGTAAAATTTTCCCCTTAAGGAATCTTAAAGGTTAAGTATTCACTTGTTGAGTAATCTCCAGCACTCAGAAACAGACAGGACCTGTCCGCTGCCAACAATCTTAGGTTTTGTCAAAAGTATTTCCACAGAGAGCATCTTAATCTTTCTACATGTTGTGATAACGCTACGCCCATTAGATTTTCTCACAGATGGCTTATCATGCCATTAATTGCTACAATTTAATAAACACTCTCAGGGATAAATGACCAACAATAACAATCTTTTTCCCCCCAGAGGCTGGCTGGTAAGGGGACCAGCAATAATATTCTTTAAAGTCACAACAATAACAATCTTTTTCCCCCCAGAGGCTGGCTGGTAAGGGGACCAGCAATAATATTCTTTAAAGTCATTATGCGGCGTTTCAGTTCCCTTCCCTGATAACATGCACCTTAAGTCTGACTCCCCAGATCCAGGACAGCCCCACGATCAGCCCCGGAACCTCACAGAATTCCTGCACGAGACACGACCAGAAATCCTCAATGGATGCCTTCTTACAAAAACAAAAGCCTCTGGTTGCCAACTCAACCAACGATTTACTAAACAGTAAGTTAGTCATGCCATGCCACAAACACCCGAACTCATTTACCGATCTGATCTAGGAGGCATTTCTAAAATGCAAAGGAAAAATAAATGACGGCCCAAAGGAGACCTAAGGGGTCGGCGTCCACCATTAACTCATCTACCGAGGGCCAGATACTGCCTGAAATCATCCCTCTAAAAACCCCAAAGCCAACCCTGACAAAGAATCAACGGCCCGTTTTACACACACAAAAAACAGACTGAGCAAACTTAAGTAGCTTGCCAGAAAGGGGAGCTGGATTTGTCTACCTCTCCCCACCTCACCGAGGAGCCTGTGGCCAACGGAATTAACGTTCCGCGTCACGTCCTCCCGCCTCCCGCAAATGTCGCGAGGTCCTGACAACGGCCACGCCACGCAGCCCACGACAGGAAGTCTGACTCCCCAGATCCAGGACAGCCCCACGATCAGCCCCGGAACCTCACAGAATTCCTGCACGAGACACGACCAGAAATCCTCAATGGATGCCTTCTTACAAAAACAAAAGCCTCTGGTTGCCAACTCAACCAACGATTTACTAAACAGTAAGTTAGTCATGCCATGCCACAAACACCCGAACTCATTTACCGATCTGATCTAGGAGGCATTTCTAAAATGCAAAGGAAAAATAAATGACGGCCCAAAGGAGACCTAAGGGGTCGGCGTCCACCATTAACTCATCTACCGAGGGCCAGATACTGCCTGAAATCATCCCTCTAAAAACCCCAAAGCCAACCCTGACAAAGAATCAACGGCCCGTTTTACACACACAAAAAACAGACTGAGCAAAATTAAGTAGCTTGCCAGAAAGGGGAGCTGGATTTGTCTACCTCTCCCCACCTCACCGAGGAGCCTGTGGCCAACGGAATTAACGTTCCGCGTCACGTCCCCCCGCCTCCCGCAAATGTCGCGAGGTCCTGACAACGGCCACGCCACGCGGCCCACGACAGACCTCGAAGCGGAACACCGGGCGGCCCCCCACAGGGGCGCGCGAGGCCCCAGCGCACTCGGCGTCCCCTGCCTGGCCCGCCGTCCAGTCCCTCCCGGCCGCGCGCCCTAACCGGTGAGCAAGATGTTCGGAAGCAACACAGTCCCCAGCGCGATGGCTCCGAGCGCCTCGGCTCACGCGTATTGCGTACTACAGGGAGGAGACGGAAGGGGCGGGCGGGGCAAGCGCCGGCGGCCCAGAGGTCCTCGAGGACTTGCACGGCGCTCCCGACCCGCCTCCGCGGCCAGCCGCCGACCATTGGTTACCTGGCCTTCTATGACCCGCTTCCATCGCATGGTCGGAGGCTGGGCACAACTCGGGTTCGCGCTTTGAGTCAGGCAGTGCGGTGGACGCCTAAGTCACTCACTCCTGCGGTGGTCCCCGCCTTTCGGGCTGCGTCGCGGAAGCGCCGACCACTCTGGAAGGTCCCCGGGAGGCGGGACCGCTGGGAGGCTCGGCGCTGAGCCCGAGTAGGACCCGGTGGCTGCCCTTTCAACTGGAGCAGAACTTGGGTTCTTCCGCTCCTCTCCGCCCGCGGGGGGATGCGGCTCCCGCAAAGTAAGGCCGCCGCGAATGCGGCTACTACGTAATTATGTCCTAGAGACGAGAGTCCAGCTCTGCCTTCACGAGCTCTCGTCGTGTTTGTATTAGTAACTGAGTTTTATCACCTTCTTAATTTCTTTTCTGTGATGCTTTCAGAATGGCACATTCTGTGGAGTGTTAAAAACTTGTCAATACCTGTCACCTCATTAAAAAAAAAAAAAAAAACCTACCAAATACAAAAAAAAAAAGGGAAATATATTTAATATATTTTGGCTTTGAATTATTAGTTAATGAATCCCAAACCTATTTAGTTAGACTTAGAAACATGTTAAACATTTCTGGAAATGAACCTAAGGAAAGGAGTAATAATATTTGCACATTTGTCCTAAAGTCAAATTGCTTGAAAGACCCCTTTTGCCAAGAAGATAATTATTTAAATTGTCATATAGCTCACATATTACTCTCTTGCATGAAACAGGGGTTATTAATCTTATTATGATCAAGATCAAGACAAATATCCTGTCAGGTACATAACAGAGTCTGAGGTCACATGCATGCTAAATAATGGGCATACATATTTTACTCTATCTAAATGAGATCCTAAGGGAAAAATCTCTTAACCTGATTCCCTGTTATTTATATGATTTAGTAGCTGGTAGGATTTTACTGAAAGAGAACACTGTATATAAAATACTGACAAATATCAATCTACACAAGAGTTATGGCCGTTTCTAGGCAGGTATTTTTGAATCCCCAGCAGAATGTTCATTCTGTGATCCGTTTTTTCTGCTTACAAGTGTGAACCCTACATCATGCATTTCCGTTCTAATACTCAATGTGCCCCTATTCTAAGACTCAAGATTTCATGTAGCCCAGTGAATCATATTCTTCTCTTGCCTTTCCCCTGCCTTCCGCTCCCTCCCCCAATAAAGTAGTTGGATAGAGCTGGAAAGCCATAGGTGTTACCTGCAGAGGGAAAATGTTCAGAGAAGAAATTNACCTCTCCCCACCTCACCGAGGAGCCTGTGGCCAACGGAATTAACGTTCCGCGTCACGTCCCCCCGCCTCCCGCAAATGTCGCGAGGTCCTGACAACGGCCACGCCACGCGGCCCACGACAGACCTCGAAGCGGAACACCGGGCGGCCCCCCACAGGGGCGCGCGAGGCCCCAGCGCACTCGGCGTCCCCTGCCTGGCCCGCCGTCCAGTCCCTCCCGGCCGCGCGCCCTAACCGGTGAGCAGGATGTTCGGAAGCAACACAGTCCCCAGCGCGATGGCTCCGAGCGCCTCGGCTCACGCGCCTTGCGCACTACAGGGAGGAGACGGAAGGGGCGGGCAGGGCAAGCGCCGGCGGCCCAGAGGTCCTCGAGGACTTGCACGGCGCTCCCGACCCGCCTCCGCGGCCAGCCGCCGACCATTGGTTACCTGGCCTTCTATGACCCGCTTCCATCGCATGGTCGGAGGCTGGGCACAACTCGGGTTCGCGCTTTGAGTCAGGCAGTGCGGTGGACGCCTAAGTCACTCACTCCTGCGGTGGTCCCCGCCTTTCGGGCTGCGTCGCGGAAGCGCCGACCACTCTGGAAGGTCCCCGGGAGGCGGGACCGCTGGGAGGCTCGGCGCTGAGCCCGGGTAGGACCCGGTGGCTGCCCTTCCAACTGGAGCAGAACTTGGGTTCTTCCGCTCCTCTCCGCCCACGGGGGGATGCGGCTCCCGCAAAGTAAGGCCGCCGCGAATGCGGCTACTACGTAATTATGT